TCTATGTAAATGACAAATCTATTGGGTAGAAATGCTCCAGGAGTATTTTTCTGTGAAAAATTTCTGAATTTTGATTCTGATGAAAGGAAAAATCTACGAAATCTGATTAAGTATTTCTAAGTGCAAATATGCCTCGTTTGGAGGACGAAAGATCAATATTCCTCCTGCTCACAACTCAGAAATGCATGTTTGTCGAATCCGTGATGCATGAAGCATGTTCGGATCACGAAAAGTCATGTTGATGGAATCTATGTAAACTGGATACCTATATGTTAGAAATCTGTCCAAAAGTATTTTTCTTTGAAAAATATCTAATTTTTGAATCTGGTGATAGGAAAAAGCTATGAAATCTTATTAAATAATTGTATGTTCAAATCTGCCTTTTTTGGTGGATGAAAGTTCAGGAATTCACATGCTCACATCTGAGAAATTCATGTTTGTCGAATCCTACATGCTTGCAGCATGTTTGGAACACAGAATGACATGTTGAGGGAATCTTTGTAAATTTCATACCTATTTTGTAGGATTCCCTCCAGGACTATTTTTTTGTGAAAAATGCACGAATTAGAAACTGGTGTCAGGAAAACTTGTGAAATTACGTAAATGTTACTAGATGTAAATATGCCTTGTTTAAAGGATGAGTGATAATTAATCCACATTCTGTGAGCTCAGAGATGCATGTTTGTCGAATCCGTCATGCATGCAGCATGTACAGAAACCAGAATGTCATGTTGATTGAATGTTTGTAAATTACATATCTATTTGGCGAAATTGCTCCAGAATTATTTTTCTGTGAAAAATGCACGAAATCAAAACTGGTGCTGGTAAAATGTGCTGAAATTGTGTACACGTTTCTAGATGAAATTATACCTTGTATAGAGGATGAAAGATCAGCAATCCACATGCCCTCAACTCAGGAATGCATGTTTGTTGACTCCATCATGCATGTAGCATGAATGGAACACGGAATGACATGTTGTTGGAATCTATGTAAATCACATATCTACAATGTAAAATTTGCTTCAAGAGGATTTTTCTATGAAAAAACTCTGATGTTTGAAACTGGTGATAGGAAAAATCTAAGAAGTCAGAGTTAATATTTCTTAGCCTAAATATGCTTTGGTGAATGAAAAATAAGTAATCCACATACTCACAACTCAGAAATGCATGTTTGTCGAATCTGTCATGTATGTAACATGTTTGGACCATGGAATTTCATGTGGATGGAATCTATGTAAATTTCATGTGTATTGGTAAGAATTCGCTCTAAAATTGTTTTTCAGTGTAAAACGTCTTGTTTTTCAATCTGGTGATAGAAAAAATCAACGAAATATGATTTAATATTTCTAGGTGCAATATGCCTTTTTTGGTGGATGAAAGATCAGTAATTCACATTGTCACAACTCAGAAATTCATGTTTCTCAAAACCGTGATGTATGAAATTTGTTTGGAACATGGAATGTCATGGTTATCTAAACTGTGTAAATTGTATTGGGGAGTGTTCGCTCAAAGAGTGTTTTTTGGTGAAAAATGACAGATTTTTGAAGCTGGTGATAGAAAAAATCTACGAATTCAGAGTGAATATTTCTAAGTGTAGATATGAATTGTTTGTTGGATGAAAGATTAGTAATACACATGCTCACAACTCAGAAATGCATGTTGTCGAAACCATCATACATGCAACATGTACGGAACCCGGAATTTCAGTTTATAGAATCTATGTAAATGATATATCTATTGGGTAGAAATCGCCCCAGGAGTATTTTTTGTGAAAAATTTCTGATTTTTGATTCTGATGAAAGGAAAAATCTACGAAAACAGATTGAATAATTCTAAGTGCAAATATGCCTCATTTGTCAGATGAAAGATCAATAATCCACCTGCTTACAACTGAGAAATGCATGTTTGTCGAATCCATGATGCATGAAATTTGTTTAGAACACGAAATGTCTTTGATATCTAAATTGTGTAAATTACATGTGTATTGGGGAGAGTTCACTCAAAGATTATTTTTGGTGAAAAATGACAGATATTTTAAACTGGTGAGAGAAAAAATCTACGAATTAAGAGTGAACACATGTAAGTGTAAATATGCCTTGTTTGAAGAAAGATAAGTAATACACATGCTCACAACTCAGAAATGCATTTTGTCGAATCCATCATGCTTGCAACATGTATGGAACCTGGAACGTCATGTTGATCGAATCTATGTAAATTACATATCTATTGGGCAGAAATCGCTCCAGGAGTATTTTTCTGTGAAAAATTTCTGATTTTTGATTCTAATGAAAGAAAAAATCTACGAAATAAGATTAAATAACTCTAAGTGCAAATATGCCTCTTTTGGCAGATGAAAGATCAATAATCCTCCTGCTCACAACTCAGAAATGCATGTTTGTTGAATCTCTGATGCATGTACTTGTTCGGAACACGGAATGTCATGTTGATTGAATCTATGTAAATTACATACCTAATTGTTACAAATCTCTCCAAAAGTATATTTTTGTGAAAAATGTGTGATTTTTGAATCTGGTCATAGGAAAAATCTACGAAGTTAGAGTAAATATTTCCCAGTTTGTATATGCCTTTT